TGTGTGTGTGTGTGTGTGTGCGTGTGTGTGTATGTACATATATAAATATATATATATAAATTGTACATTGTACACGCACACACACCTGTTTCAAGCAGTGGCGTGAGACCGTGCTGAGTGCCACCAGCACCTTGTCGAACTGCTCATCTCTGCCTGCGTGTAGTATGCGGCACAGTGTGTGTTCCGGTGTGTCTGGGGTCTTGCGCACCAGCCGCACCTTAGCAGCGGTCATAATTTTGAAACGTGAGAAAATAGTCTCCACTATTCGGCGGCTGACATTGAACTCGTCCGGAATGTTGCCCTGTGTCGACATATCTGAGTTTCCTTTTTTGAGGGTATAGGAAATGATAGGGTTCCGGGTTTATGGTTGAGTTCAGTTTGCCATTGTAGGTTATAAGTTCTGAACGTGAAACAACGCAGCGCCCTGGTACGAGTTCTCGCAGCAGGCGTACAACTATATTTGGAGCGGTCTAAAAATAGAACCTCTGGGGCAGCCTACTCTGCTGAAATTATTCACATGTAGGCGGACAGTGCCGGCATACTATACTCACCTAACCACAGTGCCGGTTTATTATACTCGCGTGAAGACAGTTAGTTTATTTTTGTTGTACTCGCCTAGTAACAAGACCAGTGAATTATACTCACCTGCGGACAGAGCCGACTTATTGTACGATGGTATTGGCGACGTTGACTTTGACATAGGTATATCATCGGCCCCTTCCTCCACTATGCCAGAGGGTCGATCTACAAACTCGCCACTACACCTGAGCACGTGGAGATACATATGATGATATATTGTATGTTGATATAGGTTTGTATGTACGTATGACTTGTTATTACTTATGGCGTACGTGGAGATACATATGAAGAGCTATCATGTCGTAAGTTGATATAGGTTTGTATGTACGGATGGTTTGTTTTTGCGGGCAATTTAACTGTATTAAAAGGGATATGAAGAATCTTTAAATCAGCATGTTTAATTGGTCACAAAAATCCATTTATACGGTTAAGGTTTTAGGGATAGAAATAGGAGTCTCTAACAGAGATGGTCAGATCAGACGGGTTGCATTTGGGTAAAAATACGCATATGCATCCAAATGTGGAATGAATTCGAACGCGTGTGTAAAACACTGGAGGTACACAATTAGGAGTACAAAAGAAATGCAATATAATTAGACGTACACAAGGGAATGTAATACAATTAGACGTATCTGGGTGCACAGAGAAATACAAATATCATGTGCTGCATGTGTATCGTGACTAATTGCGAGTGAACAGGCGTTCTCCAGCCCACCCATATGTTCGTAGGGTTTAGTAATTTAGGGTTTCCTAAACCCTAAAAACCCTAAACCGTAAAACTAACTCGCCACACTCGTGAAAGGTGCCCTCATTCCAGTTTCATTTACACAAGCCATTCCTGATCAGATAGTATCGTTCACCTTTAAGGCCGCTACACTCTACCCGCATGCCTCGCTATAAGCTCTACAGACGGTACTGTACTAAAGCGTGCACTGTGCTATACATACACGTGCTTTGCGATACACATACAAAGACCAAGTGCTACTACCTACCCATACACTCGCACACTATCTGATACTTACCTACGCACGCAAACAATATTATACCCAACTACCCACGCTCTCTGCCTTATACATACCAACACACACATACAGTCACATACCTACAGACGCATGCAAACTGTCTTATACCTACCTACGCTCGCACTCTGTCCTATACATACCAACACACGCATACAGTCATATACGTCATACGCATACATACTGTCATATACCTACCTACGCTCGCACTCTGTCAAAAACATACAAACACAAGCATACAGTCATATACTTACATACACATACATACTGTGTTATACCTACCTACGCTCGCACTCTGTCTTCTACATACCAACACCCGCATACAGTCATGTACTTACATACGCTTACATACTGTCTTATACCTATCTACGCTCGCACTCTGTCTTCTACCTACCTACGCTGACTAGCTCCGCTGTGCGAGTCTGATGCCTCGGCTGGCTTGGGGTTTGTGTTCAGATACATCATACTAGCGGTGTCCATATCTATTCCATTGGACTTGCGCCAAGACGCTGGGGACGAGGCAGATCGCGCCCCTAAGAGAATATGTGGTCAAAATATAGATGCTTTAACAAAGTATTCATTTAAATATACGTGCATATGCAGATACATATACATATTAAATATTGCACTATGAGGCAGTGTTTGTGCTGTAGTATGTGTTACTGAGACAAATAT